AACAGACTTCCATTACTACAATGTTATTCAGCAATCATCCCTCACTACAATGTTCTTCAACAGTCTTCCATTACTACAATGTTATTCAGCAATCATCCCTCACTACAATGCTCTTCAACAGTCTTCCATTACTACAATGTTATTCAGCAATCATCCCTCACTACAGTGCTCTTCAACAGTCTTCCATTACTACATGTTATTCAGCAATCATCCCTCACTACAATGCTCTTCAACAGTCTTCCATTACTACATGTTATTCAGCAATCATCCCTCACTACAATGCTCTTCAACAGTCTTCCATTACTACAATGTTATTCAGCAATCATCTCTCAATACAATGCTCATCACACTCCTCTCTCACTACAGTTCTCTTTAACACAGTCATCCCTCATACAATGCTCTTCAACAGTCTTCCATTACTACAATGTTATTCAGCAATCATCCCTCACTACAATGTTCTTCATCACACTCATCCTTCACTACAATGCTCTTTAACTTAGTCCTCCCTTACTACAGTTTTATGTAATACAGTCCTCCCTCTCTACAATACTCTTTAACAGTCATCCTGTACTGCAACACTATTCATGGTGGTCATACATGAGAACTGTCTTACAGATGAAGTCTTCCACTGAGGTGTCTGATATATAATATTTCTGTTAAATAATCAAATGAGCTCCATGTCAGTCTTATAAAAGTAACAATCTAACAAAGCGTCACCTTATAATGTGTGTCTGTACACACACATTATTAGGGAAAAGGTCAAATGCTGAATGCCATGTCACTGATATGACTGCAAGGTAAAAACAAAATACAAGCCATATAACCAAAATGGGTGAAAAAAATTACAAAAAAATAAATATAATATCCCACTCACAAAACAAAATTACAATACCAATAAGACCAAACCTTTTGTGCTTATTAAAAGATTAAGATAGAAATAAATAATGGTCTTTTCTACAATCAAATATGAACAGAATAAAAAACCCTTATGAAATGGAACCTAAATATTTACAGATATTATAATACAGTAAACCTTATTAATTTAAACATTAATCTCTTCAATATTTCAGATCACCTGAATGACTTCCTGCATGTTTTTATCAGCAACCACAAAACCTGAAAACTCATGCTGAAAATTGTGGGCTCACAGCATCTTTTGCATTTATTTTGAATGCTACGGCACTGAATTATCCTGTTAAAATTACAAAAGTAAATTCTCCTAAAATCACTCTAAAATTCGCTTGCAGAAAAGGACATTTTAGATGTTTTTAGATTTATTAAACTCATCAACCTTTAACAGAATCTTAAAATTTATTCCTGTCAACAAAATCATCACATTTGTTGTCCATATATCATAATACTATTGTATTTTGTCTTTAATTTTAAGCCGAATTCTACATGGTCCCTGACTATAACACAGTTAAAGCAGAGGCACAAAAATGCATTATGTTGCTGACAATGCCATATTATATATCTTAAATAAGGGTTTGGAATAATGGGTCTACTGAAGGTAAAAGAAAAATTTCAAAATGATGGGATATATTGCATGCAAAAACCTCATTATGATGGGATAAATTTTATCTTAAGCCGCATTAAGATGAATTAGGCGTATATTAAGCTGCATTATGATGGTGTAGGTCGTATATTAGGCTGCATTATGATGGGGTATGTTGTATGTTAAGCCTCATTATGATGGGGTAAGCCACATTATAATGGGGTATGTCGTATATTAAGCCGCATTATGATGGGGTATGTTGTATATTAAGCCACATTGTGATGGGGTATGTTGTATATTAAACCAAATTAGGATGAGGGTATCCTGCATGCAAAAACCACATTATAATGTGGTTTGTTGTATGACACACCACATTAGAATGAATTATTTTGTATGCAAAAAACCCCAAAACATTATGGAGTTTGTTGGATGCGAAACCACATGATAATAGTTCATTTTGTATGCAAAGATCACATTATAATCAGGTACTTTGTATGTGAAACCACATTATAATGAATTTTTTTATCAGGCAAAAAACCACATTATGATGGGGTATGTTGCAAGTCAAACCACATTATGGATTATTTTGTATGCAAAAACTATATTATGATGGGGAATATTGCATCTGAAACGCATTATGAATTAGCTATGCTGTATGCAAAAACATTATGGATTATGCTGTATGCAAAAACATTATGATGGTGTATGCAACATATGAAACCACATTATGGTGTACGCAACATGTGAAACCACATTATGATGGGGTATGCAGCATGTGAAACCACATTATGGTGGGGTATGCAGCATGTGAAACCACATTATGATGGATTAGTTTGTATGCATAGACCACATTATAATGGAGTATATTGTATGCATAGACCACATTATAATGGAGTATATTGTATGCATAGACCACATTATAATGGAGTATATTGTATGCATAGACCACATTATAATGGAGTATATTGTATGCATAGACCACATTATAATGGAGTATATTGTATGCATAGACCACATTATAATGGAGTATATTGTATGCATAAACCACATTTTAATGGAGTATATTGTATGCATAGACCACATTATAATGAAGTATATTGTATGCATAGACCACATTATAATGGAGTATATTGTAGACATAATAACACAATGGGAGATGTTTGTTTTGTAAGTTTTAATGGCACTTTAAACACACACTATTAGCTATATTATGCAGACATAATACCTTTCCCAAAGACACAATGAGGCAGCCGACCTGACTGGGTATTGAACCCATGATCACTGGATTACAAATCTGATCTCTACCCACTGAGCTACTGGAGTGAAATGGGGGTATTCTAATCCACATTATGATGTAGTATACGAAGCAAAAGACTACAAGGCAGTGAAATAAACTAGGAAGCCATTTCAGAAAAAAAATTCAAGTAAATAATAAAGCCTATGGCCATATCAGTGGTATACCAAGAACCATGTTAAATCAGGGACATTTTGTATTGAGACAGGTTTATACTGAGACTTTTCATGGTCTGGGACCACAGTATTTGATGATAAATCCATTTTATTTTGAATATGTACTGAATTTTTAAAATGTCCTAATAATTATGGTGCTTTAATTTAATACATATTCTGCAGCATTTTTCAATTAGGAATTCTGTTTTTGTAGTTTGGCTACTATGACAGAGGAAGTCAAAACAAAATTATTCCATTTACTCAAAAAACATATAAACTATTTCATTTTTTGTAAAAATAATGCTATATAGTTAGTGCTTAATTCACATTTTAACAAGTCAACAAGAGTACAAAATGAGTGTATGCCCTGAATTCCATCACGTTTTTAATTTTGTCTTTGTATTCAGTTTTGAAATTCCATTTATGTGTTTTGGGATATGTCCATTTGTCTTCTTATTCTGATTCACAAAAAGGGTTTCCTCTTCACTCGAGAAATCAGATTCAGAAATCATCACACTGGTGTTTTGCTTTTTCCCTGAAAGAGAAATAACATAATGGTTAGACAATAACAGCATTACATTGTCACTTTTTCGACTAATATAAAATACAATAAATCTTTGATAACTTAACATCAATTACTCCATAACTCAATATTGCCATTAGTACCCAGTGTAAATGTTTTATCTCATCTGCAACTCTAGAAAATACTGAAGCAATCAAAGGCTTCAACCCAATGCTTCATGAAACTTAAGCTCTACTGTAATACAGACTGTGACAGGAAAAAACACGTTCTAATCAGTCAGACATAAGTTTATCTATTCTAAACCAGTCTAATATAAGGCACTGTCTGATTAATCAAAAGTAAAATTACTTTATATTCTGACACTATCTGTGCAGGACATTGACATTAGGCAGGTGACTAAGGTGCATGTCTCACCATTTTGAGAAAATTTAATGAAAATCACTCCAAGCATTACAAAGTTATTTGGCAACAGTTAAGAGAAAAATGGAAAATGCCCGACAAGGACAATGCCTAACTACAACAATGCCTGACAATGACAACATAATATACCTAGATTAAGGTGTATAATTATCAAGCAAATATAACAAAAAATCCCTCAGTGTCTAAAATACTACAAATACAAAATGCTAAAAGATCTCAGCATAATGCTTCAACTAGCTTACTAAACCAAAGCAATTTCATATATCCAGTAACATTTTAAGTTTTGTGCAACATTGTCAAAGACACAATGGATAAATAAATAGATGTAATAATGACCAGAAACATATGCACTAAACAAGCTATTATTCTGAACCTATGCTCTTCAATTTATCTGACAGTTGTCTCTCTCTATAAAGTACTCTGTATAACACAGTACCTGATGTAATATGGTCTATAACAAAAGAGTCCATGATATAACACAGTCCATGATATAAAATGGCTTATGATGTAACACAGTTCTTGATATAATATGATCCCTAATATAACAGTCCATAATATAGCATGCTCCCTTAAATAACACAGTCCATAATATAACATGGTCCAGAATACAACAGTTCTTGATATCACATGGTCTCTGATATAACAGTCCCATAAACAAGGTCCTGATATTACATGGATATATTCAATGGATCACTTTGTATTTCTCCATATAATCTACTCCAGTATAGGGTGACCTCACCTATAATGTGGATCTTTTTTTTGTTGCTTCCTTGAACAGTGATATAGTGAGGGACCACTATACTTACTAAGGCACAGGTGATTATAGTTACTGTCCTAAACCTTAAAACTCTGAAATGATTTTCATGTTGCTTGGTAACTCACCCTTGGCTACAAGTTCTATATCTTGCTTATCATCCTCAATGTTATGAAGCAGTGAATACCGATGTCTTTTCTTAGACCTGAATCTACATCGGCACCTGCAAAAAGTATAAAGGAACAGCATCAGCATGACAATGCTTACTAAATCACATTGTTATGAATATTTATATGGATTAATTTCACTGTATATGCAACTTCTATATAATTTAGCTTATTCAACCTATAACCACTCCAGTGGCCTAGTGGTTAGAGTGTCCGCCTCAGATGCAGGAGGTCGTGGGTTCGATCCCTTGTCAAGTCATACCAAAGACTTACAAAAATGGTACTAACAGCTGCCTCGCCTGATGCTCAGCATTAAAAGGTTAGTGTTAGGACTGGTCGGCCTGGTGTCAGAACAATGCGACTGGGTGGGACATCATGCTACATGTCTGCGGCATGATGCCTAAATGCTAGACATCACTATAAACTGTCACACTGCAGACATCGTAGCGATATGACTGAAAAATTGTTAAAGCTACGTTAAATACTCAATCACATCAATATTCAACCTATAGCTGTGATATTTCTTTTGATATTTAAAAAAATAATTTATTGTAAAATCAACATTTATATATTGAAATATGCGAAAAATTCTATGCTTCATTTATTAACTCTCTTCTTCCTCTCTTTCATTCTTTCTTTGTCCAATCCACCTTCCAAACTCTTGTTCTTATTCATACAAAACAGTGGTAACATTATTATACTTTTTGGCTAAGATTAAATTTTTGCTGTTTGTATGTGACATGATTATGTATTAGACTTTTAAGGTAAGGCTTAAATGCTCCAAACCACAGCTGGGAATCTTAATTTTGTTAGAAATTTCATATGAATTCTTTGATCTTGATGCCCAGTTTTTCACCAGATTAGGAGACATGGCTATTTCATTACCACCAAACATGACCTTTATCTAAACAGCCAAGTGAGTTTTAGTTAGTAAAGCTTGATACACATGCTGGTGATATTAATGGGTGGAACCTATGCACAATATTTTAAATAGTCAATTACAAAATAATTAGCTTTTCATTTTGAAACATTGTTTAAATGATGTATATATTTCCATTAAGTATGCCTGACTACCTGTGAAACCAATCTTTGTTTTTATTAAAATGTTTTGTCTTTGCTTATATTTACCACTAATGTGCATATCAAATTCTTCCAAAAAATGACACAATTTGTATTTTTTTTGATTTTCTACACAAAAGACCTTTTGGACAACAGTAATATTCAGATACTAAATACAGAATTACTTGTCTTTATGGCGCTTACAATTCAGGATAAAACAGAAACCCATTTCAAAAGTCTTGTACATCCAATACACATATATTTAGATGTCATTTAGGGCCTCCAAATGGTCATTCATACCTGCAATTACAAGTCATAAAGTATACTGACCATGATGAAGAGCCCATAATATACTAATAAATGGCATTAAACCTCATCAAAACCAATACTATAATCCTTGGTGGATCAAACATATTGGTGCCTTGTTCTATTGAGATTAGATTTAATAAGTTGCCTTCCTTAGTATATAATGCCAACTAACCAATAGTATGGTGCATTGAACATTGAACCAAAAATGATGGGGGCAATTGACCTAAAAAGGATACATTAGAAGTTTAACATCAAAACTATGGCTATGTATCAGTGGGAAACCATTACAGGTGTATTTGAGTGAAAGGTATTTGTGTGAACATGGACAGGCACTGGAAAATTGCTTATTTATCAGTCCCTTCAAGTTGTGTGCTTTCCTTGTCTCAATCCTGCAGGAAAAAATTAATATTTGAACAACTTAATTTTGATTGTAAGCAGTGGCTTGCTGCTGCATACATGCTTCAGACCTGAAGCACAGAAATATCTGCTAGATACACCAAGGTGTAGATAGGGTTTTCACACTGGAACCTTGTGAAGATGCCTTATATTTTTTAACTGATAATAAAATCAAAAGTTCATGATATGCCATTTTCATGGCAATGAGACTATGAGGATATACATGTACATCCACCAATAACATTGTTATATGGAACTATGATATTGCTATATCCAACAACAAAACTTCTCCTTCCATGCTGAATAAACGCATATAATCAGAGAAATATTCAGACAAAATTTTACACCTGAAAAAGGTGGAACAAGTTTGATTTGGAATGCAGGGCTGAACTGTGATGTCAAATAGACCTCAGTCACAGAAACATACTGAGGCTTATATATATATATATATATATATATATATATATATATATATATATATATATATGGCCTGAGGTGAATATTTTGACATGTACATATCCAGTCCATTAGCATAGTGGCTATATGGTGCCAACTTAAAGCAGATGTTTGAAAAAATTCAACAATACATTTCACAAAATCTGCAGAAGTATAAACCATTCCAGATAAATGTGCAACTTAAAAAACTATAAACATAAAAATATGTTTCAATCATGTAAAATGTATATAAAATAAATGTAAAATTGCTAAAACATTTTAAATATTTCCTTACAGAGGCAAAGATTGTCTTGGTGGGTATGCCCTCATACAGTTTCCGCAAGCAGTTAATATCAAATTACATCCATCGCACACTATGGAAACCAAACCATGACAGCAATGTGCTCCTCCATCAATGGTCACTGACAGAGTACACACTCTTGAAAAGGTTTACCTCTCAGGAAATATATATGAGCCAGGCATGTCTGTCTGCACACAATCAGTGCACCTTTCAGAAAATATACAAGAATCAGGGACATGTGTACATAACCAGTGTACCTTTTAGGAAATATATGAGCTAGGTATGTCCATCCTGTACATAATCAGTGCAATACCACCTCTTTTCATTTATTAACTCTCTTCTTCCTCTCGGATCACTGCCATCTCACCTCTGTCTTCGTGAGTTCGAGTCTAGGATTCGGGGAATGTGGATATGTGAGAAAGCTTGCAAGTAGCTTCTCGTGGGTCGGTGGTTCTTTCCGGTGATTTCCCAGTTTCATCCTCCACCATTAATACTGGCTGCCATGAATAGCCTATCGTGTGCTGAAAAATGGCGTTAAGCCCAACAACAACAACAGAGAGAGAGAGATAGAAATAAACCTCCAGAGTGGAGAGTTCCCTGCAAAAGACAACTCTTTTAGTAGGTTTCTGTTCTAATCGGCACATTTGTCTCTTGTGATCTTGTCAAGGAGTTTATGTTCTCCATTTTGTTCTACAGCCATTTCATTCTACAGCCATAGGGCTGTGTGTGTGTGAGTGTATCAGGCTGTCAGTCTGTCTGTATGGGGATGGAAGCATGCGTGACCATCAAGGCCATACAAGAACAGAAGTGCTGATCTGTAAACTTGCGCACATGGTGGATCTATGAAGGGGGTGTGTGGCCAATACAAGTGTGAGCTAACCTAAGGATTCAGGAGAACTGTGTGGCTTGACAATGGACATGCAAACCAGGTCAAAATGTTTCGTTTGCAAGTTTTACAAATATATATGAGTCATACGTGGTTATTAATTGTACAGGCTGTTCAAATCACAAGTCATGTATTTGGTACAATTGATATATTTATTACAATTGATCATGTTTGTTTCACTTGATCATGTTGTGTTTCAATTGAGTATATGGAACATATGTTGTGTTTCAATTGAGTATATGGAACATATGTTGTGTTTCAATTGAGTACATGGAACATATGTTGTGTTTCAATTGAGTATATGGAACATATGTTATGTTTCAATTGAGTACATGGAACATATGTTGTGTTTCAATTGAGTACATGGAACATATGTTGTGTTTCAATTGAGTATATGGAACATATGTTGTGTTTCAATTGAGTACATGGAACATATGTTGTGTTTCAATTGAGTATATGGAACATATGTTATGTTTCAATTGAGTACATGGAACATATGTTGTGTTTCAATTGAGTACATGGAACATATGTTGTGTTTCAATTGAGTATATGGAACATATGTTGTGTTTCAATTGAGTATATGGAACATATGTTATGTTTCAATTGAGTACATGGAACATATGTTGTGTTTCAATTGAGTACATGGAACATATGTTGTGTTTCAATTGAGTACATGGAACATATGTTGTGTTTCAATTGAGTATATGGAACATATGTTGTGTTTCAATTGAGTATATGGAACATATGTTATGTTTCAATTGAGTACATGGAACATATGTTGTGTTTCAATTGAGTACATGGAACATATGTTGTGTTTCAATTGAGTATATGGAACATATGTTATGTTTCAATTGAGTATATGGAACATATGTTGTGTTTCAATTGAGTATATGGAACATATGTTATGTTTCAATTGAGTATATGGAACATATGTTGTGTTTCAATTGAGTATATGGAACATATGTTGTGTTTCAATTGAGTATATTTGAATACAATTGATTTACATCTATTTGTATGAGATTATATGAATCTCACCTTTATTTACACAAGATTATATAAAATAACATCTTGGTTTTACTGTTACGTGTGTCTAAAATTTTGAATATATGAATCACATTTTTTTTCCCCATTTGTGAATGTTTGTGTGAATTAATTGAATGAGTCGTATGTTTAGTGCTCGGAAGAATAACACTGTATATACTGTAGAGGATAAATATTTATTAATTAACTTCATAACCTTCCATCTTTCGTCATATTTGAGTTTGTCTTGTCATTTAATCCAGGCATCTATTCAGATAAAAACCTGTCACACTAGTATATTATTATCAATTAACTTTGTGGGTTAAATTAGTCTAAAAATGGAAATGTTGCAGGTATTTAACTAAGTGCAACCCTATATATATGTGTGTGTGTGTATGTGTATGTATATATATATATATATATATATATATATATATATATATATATATATATATATATATAGAGAGAGAGAGAGAGAGAGAGAGAGAGAGAGACAGACAGACAGAGAGAGAAAGAGAGAGAGACAGAGAGGCAGACAAAAAGACAACTCTTTTAGTATGAAAATACAGTTATTGGGGTCATTGCTTTTGAGAGTATTGGTGTGCACTCATTGTGAACCATTTCAACTTATGAAATTTATGTAGTGTGAGTTTCAGTGTATACCCTAGGAGTGCAACACTAAGAGTAAAAAATCCCCTCGACATTAGAACTGGGGGTAAAAATGAGTAAAAAGCACACTGGTATTAAACTGGGGGTAAAATATAAATTTTAAGTCTTTGAAACACAAATAAGAATAAATCAAAACACAGGTGTTATGCTAAATCAGGTATTTCTACCTGTAGAATTATCTTAT